ACAGTAGTGAAGTACGATTTGACAATTTATAATTCATTTGACTTAATTGCATTTCTATCATTAAAAAAATATTTTTTCTTGCTATATTATGTAATTATATCTTCGAATAATTATGATCTAAATGAAATATTTATTAATTATGTAATCTCCACGTATGTCAGTTTCAATAATTCTATGTAAAATTATTTTGATTAATATTTATTACCCACCTTGTTAAGATTTCCATTAGGTAGGTCCCATAGCATAATATATGTACTATTGGTGCTATCCTGTAGCAAAGTAGAAAAATGTCGAAATTTTTAACTTTTATAATAATAACTGTTAATTACATAACGTACAAATATCTAATATATGAATATTAAACCATTCTTTTAGATATATATATTAATTAAGTTTTTAACGGTTTTTAGTATTTTCATCTATTTTTACATAACTACGGAGGCAGATTTGTCAGTTTTATTGCCCTTTTATTTGCATTTCCTGTTTGCATTATAATTTGTAGGATAAACACAAATTCCGAGGAAAAGGTTCAATACCTACATATATATATATATATATACATACATACATACATACATTCATTTTTATACCATTTACATAACATACATTTTTATAAAAATCCACCTTTTATGAAATAAAAATAAATAATTGAATAGAGAACTTATTTCGAAATAGTCGAAATAATATTAAATACCATTAAACTCAATTCAAAGATATACCTGACTGATATAACTGAACGTCATAAAATTAATGTATAATAAAGTATGTAACATTAACACATCAACTAATAACGTCAAATGATTATAACAATATTAAAGGAATTTATAGAAATATGTTTAGCTTCCTTCATAAGCATCATTCTTATACTGTTACAATCCAGTATTCCAGGATTATAGCGATGATTCGTGGCAGTTAGAATTTATCTATTTAAATTTAAGTTTAAAATTCAAAGTAATAATGTAAAACCAGTTGACTTTTGACGAAATGAAAAATGTAAAAATTTGTTTTGCCTAGATAATCTCAAAATTGTGTTGTATAATAAGTCTATAGCATTCAAATACTTTACCAAAAAAAAAAGGAGCATATAAACATTGTCAAAATTCATAGAAAATTGGATTGGAACAGGTTATACTAGAATAATAATTGTATTTTTTCATTCTTCAAGCCTGATTTCTGTGATGGTTTTTGTGTGCTATTTTTATATTATAATTCGATACTGTTATTTTTTGATGCATTTTGTGATTTACTCATACGCACATATTCTTTTTATAATATTTAATCATAGGTTAATGAAATTATTGAAAAAAAAAAAACATCAGGGAGTATAAAATTCATCATGGTCATTCCATTGTACTACTTCTATTGAATTTTCCTTATCAACTCTATTTTACTTCAGATATCGTGTGATACAGCGACGTAGCAATAACTACTTTGGTACGTTTTGTGCATATGACGTAGCGACGTAGCGATATACATACTTTGCAAGCGGTTTTTTGCTACGCGCGATCACAGTTTAAGGCCGGCCACATACATACGGAATTCCGTTTCGGGATTCCGTTTCGATATTCCGATTCGGAATCCCGAACGCAGCAACTCCATATAAAATCTATGGCCCGTCACACACGTACGGTAGTTTTCCGTTCGAAATTTTGCGGACAAAACGGGATTCCGTATGTGTGTGGCGAGCCGTAAGTGTGGCGTGATCGAATGATACAGCGACGTAGCAATAACTACTTTGTTTCGTTTTGTGCATATGACGTAGCGACGTAGCAATATACTTTGCAAACGGAACTTTGCTACGCGTGATCACAGTTTAAAGTGTGGCGTGATCGTATGATACAGCGAAGTAGCAATAACTACTTTGGTACGTATGTGAAATGCTGGACTTTAATACATTTAGCCAATTAATTTCTTCTTCTTAATGTAATAATGACTCAAGTTGTTCTCGAATATTTAGCTATTTTGATTATATCTGTATTATATGCTCAATTGTTCTTATGACATTCATTTTATGTTCGGCTGCTGTCCTCTTGTTAAATGATATGGTATGTGCTTTTGCATTTGAAACAGGCTAGACTAGACTTAAACATTTGTGCTGAAATCTTATTATTCCTTCTAGGAACACAATCACTTCTAGGCTGTAATAGATAACACCACTGATTTTATTTGTCATCTAGATATATAATCAGTGTCAAATCATTCTAAGTTTGTTTATTGTGCCAAAAATGTTGAACATTGTCCAACAGAGTAGATATCTCGACTGTGTTAAGTGTTGATTTTTATTCCATAGTGTAAAACATAAAACGGATAATAGTACCCTACCCATTAAACGGTTTTATACATACATATACATTATACATATTATAATAAGTTATAAAGAAGATAATTCAGATTTTTTTTTATTGTCATGTGTTTGCCATTGGAGTAGTTTTCAATTATTGAAAAACAACTTTAAAGTCAGTGTTTTTGCTATTTATTCGAAAACTGCGAAATGAAATGTGTGAGATGGTAAAATGTTTCAAATAAAAATGGAAGATTTGTTAATTTCACCTAAAAAAGGTGTCACCTTATCCTTCAACACTCACAGTAAAATGGTGTTGAGGTGAATAAAATTTTAATTAATTATTGATTTTGATATGTAAAATTGCGTGCAAAAAAGTTTTATCATGTAATGATTAAAAAACCATTTTTTTCGTCAGTTTTTCGATTCCTAAAAAATCTTATTGTTAAGTATTGCTTTATCTGTTTGTGTAATTTGATCATAATTGGTGCAGTCATTCAAGACTAGCCCGGACAGACAGACAAATAAATAGATAGACAGACAGATAAACAGATAGAACGACGGACCGACAGACAAACATTTTTAAACTTGTTATTCACGTTTTAATAGCATGCAAATAACCCCCCGGGCTAAATAGAAGGCCGTTATTTAGATATTACAGACAGACATTTCAATTTTACTTATATGTCTAGATTTGTAAAATCAATTCGTCATTTTAGTGTTAATTGTTAGGATTTTGAGGCAGTGTAATGAAATATATTATCTACTTTTATATAAACTTATCACTTTATATTCAATGTTACATTTGTATAATGTCATACGCGTGAGTAAAAAAGTATCAGTGATGCTATAAAACAATTTACTTTGCCCCGATCTAGTCAAATAACTTTGTTATTAGCTTAATTTATTTTTTAAATTATTTGTTTGCCTTTTACCGTTTACTGGTATTTGTCCGCTTAAAACTTAAACAAAAAAAAAACCAGCAAATATATACCTAAGTAGTTCAATTATGGAAAAGACATTTAAATTCAGTTTTTTTTTTATCTTATCTTGCAAACTGTGAATTTTGAGAAAATGTTAAATATATAACAGGTATAGAATGAGGATTTTTTTTTGTGTAAAAAAAAATCATCAAAAACCATTAAGTGTAGAAGTGAAATCTTCGGAAAACTAAATTTCGAGAGAATGAGACGAATACAGAGTATCAGGAGTAGGATAATTGTAGGGTTCATATAATATAATATTGTTACCAAGTTTAAAAATTATTTTATATTTTATTATTACATTACATATTAAATAGACTCAAAGTTTTTAACAAATGACACGAGTGGATTATGGAACCTAAGTATATAATAGATAATACTGCATACTGTATTCTATCTCATTCTCGCAGGCTAAATCTTATAGATGTATATGTTTGTCTCTTTTTAGTGTCGCTTTTTCGTTTCATCGAGTTTCAAATCAACGATTCTAAAGAAGTTTTCACTTCAATAATCCTCCCATATTTTTCGGATAAAATTAGCCTAGTTATCTCGTTTATCTGTTCGTGAAGTATCATCACTATCGGTTCAAACATTCCGAATATTATCCCGGACAGATTGATAGATAAACAGTATTTAAATGATGATTTAATAACATGTAAATATCCCCCTTATAAAGGAAGAAGTCGATAGAGTTTCATATCACTGCTCTTAAGTACATTAACGCTGTCCTAACAATTAGAATTAAAGGTAATCACTATATTACATTAAGCATGTTAAGTTTTAGTAGTTTATTAAAATTTCAATGGTGACTGTCATAATGAATACTGATATTCCTAGTTGGAGAATGTAACTGATATTTTAGCTTGGGTAAACAATTGTTTTCGGGATCTACTATTGGTGTAAGTCGTTGAAACATAAATATGGTTTTCAGATACATTTTGTTTTTTATTTGACATCATAATCATTGCCGTCATCCTCTTCACCTGACAGTTAAGGCATCCTATAGACTTTTGGATAAACTAAACTAACAGGCGTAGGACCGTTGCCTTGGACCTATGGAGGGAAGAGGTAAGGAGGACTATCTTTAATGGGGGACAAGATGAAAAGGTGCCAGTTGCAAGCTATAAATAACAGTTCATAAACCTTCCAGAATGGCGCTAGCGTAGATACGGGGTTTGAATGAATATAGCAGTTGCAGTAGGTATTTTTATGGCAATAAAAATATTTCAAACATTTTAATGATTTGTTTTAACAATTATTTTCATCCAAAATCGACACTTGTGAAATATTTTTTTTATCATTTTGTTTTTTAATTTTTGTACTCTAATATTGAACAAGACTTATTAATTTAAAATTTGTATTAAAATATTTAATTTAAAATTTAGCCACAAGGTGCTGTTGTAGCCACTTTTTCATACACTAAGATCACAAAATATACTATCCTAATAGTAGCGTCATCCATAATTTGTTTCCGAAAACATTGTTTATTATTGGTCTTATGATTTGACAGATGTCGCTACTTTGAAAAATAAAAATAAATGCACAAGAAATTTTATTAATAAGAAATTATTATTTTAAGATAAAAAATTAATAATCATCAAATCCATCGATAAATATGATAATTATGATACTGGCAACCCTAAACTTATTAAACGTCAAATATTTTGGCCTAAAGGTCTAGATGCCAGGCCATAAACTCCAAAAAAAAACGTCAAATATTCAAACAAAAGAAGAATAAGTCAAGTCAAAGCAAATAAACAAAAACAAAAAGGAGTCAAATGGCTAGCATACATCTATGTTCTACGCTATCACTTCTTAATAGTTTGTGCTCAAATCAAAGAGTATAGTAACTGTCCCTATAAAGAGCTCAAATGGTGGCTACATTTTTGCGTACGCGCATGTCTGTAAATTTCTCCATTTTATTTTATTATTCTAACTTTGATCTCTTCCGATTTGCTGTGGTGACTTCGCTTCGATTTCGTATTGTGTTGGACAATATTGCGAAAGGACGCTGTTTTTGTATTGTGGTGTTTTTTACACATATATTTTTGTCCAAAATGCCTAAGTTATGCTCGTTTGGGTGTGCCCCTAGTGGTAAGTGCATTTCAGTAATTCAATTGTATCTGTAATAAATTACGTACTTACTAAAAAGTTTTTCAGTCAGCAGGGTGGTTGTGAGGGGGGATGACTGCCCACAGTCCACTGCATCACTGGATGTACAAAGCCATTATTTTGGTTATACTGCAGTCTTCATTTTGCTCTCTACCGCCTACTTATAAAATTTAAACAACCAATTGGAGAAGTGGATATAACAGCTTTAGATAATTGTAGGTGTGGTGTTCTTAATTCATGGGGGTCACTACCACCTCTTCCAAGTGGTGCAAGAGGGCTTAGCTTTCCATTGACGTCAGTGGAGTTTGGTGTTGATACGTACTTTTACAGAAAGATTACACTATTATAAGCACACACACAATGTCTCAATATACGGAAACGCGTAATTTTTGAGAAAAGAATAATTGAAAACCAATTATTCTTGCAATGTTTACGTCTAATTTGCTAATAAACTGGCGCCATTTTGTAATGTCATTGTCGACGTCAATAGGGATGTCGATTCTTTCCGAAAAAGGTCGATTTTTAAATCGATTCAAATCGTAAGCTGATGTATCGGTTCACAAAAAATCGATTTCTAAAATGTCTATATTTTTTTAATGTTTCTATTTATAATGTAAATATAAACCCATTTTATGAAAAACAAGAAAGATACCATGATAAATGATCTCTTATTGAAATTTGTTTTATTTAACAGTACCTATTAGGGCAGATAAATAAAATAGGTTAGGTTCAACTTATGTCAAAGAACCGAATTGATTGACCCCGACTCCACCTGGTACGAGTCTGTCCTACCCCTAGAGTGGTTTTATAGAGCCGGAGGCGCGTAGGGGGAGCAGCCTCCGCCTGCTGTAACAAATCGTAAGCAACGGACGAGCCGGAGCGGCTGAGGCTGGTCGCCGAAGGCGACCAACAAGCCGAAGCTGCGGAGGCGAGGAGGGATGCCTGCGATTTGTTACGCTAAGGCGTAGAGGTTGCTCTTCCCGCAGCGCCGGAGACGTAGCAGTCTCAAAATAGATACAGAAATCCTTATGAATCAGTCCCCTTATTTTTTTATGATGAAGGGGATTTTTTTCTCATAAAATGGATTTATATTTACATTATAAATGCAAACATGAAAAAAATATCGATATTTTAGAAATCGATTTTTTAGGAATCGATACATCAGCTTACGATTTGAATCGATTTAAAAATCGACCTTTTTCGGAAAGAGTCGACATCCCTATTGACGTCGACAATGACATTACAAAATGGCGCCAGTTTATTAGCAGATTAGACAAACATTGCAAGAATAATTGATTTTCAATTATTTTCTCAAAAATTACGCGTTTCCGTATATTGAGACTTTGTGTGTGTGCTTATGATAGTGTAATCTTTCTGTAAAAATACGTATCAACACCAAACTCCACTGACGTCAATGGAAAGTCGTACCAGTTTGCCACTCGAGAACCTTACTTCCCCATTGGTTGTAGGTTCTTAGTGCTATGTGGCTAGCCCATTGCCAATTCAGCTTACTGATCCTTTAAGATATGTCGGTTGTTAAAAGTGATAGTATATATTCGTATATGTGAATAATAATATAACTTAAAGTAATTTATACACCTTGAACAAAACTATTTTTACGGATTTTATCGCGTTTAATTAACTTATTTTATATTCCCGACGTTTCGGTTGCTTTTCAGCAACCGTGGTCACGGGGGACTGAGGTGATTGACGTCCCGATGTCAAAGTTAACCCGGAGTACCTTCAGCTTTTTACTCCGGGTTAAATTTGACATCGGGACGTCAATCACCTTAGTCCCCCGTGACCACGGTTGCTGGAAAGCAACCGAAACGTCGGGAATATAAAATAAGTTAATTAAACACGATAAAATCTGTAAAAATAGTTTTATTCAATGTGTAGTGTTCGTGTAAATATAAGAAATCATAATTTATACACCTTTTTAATTTAATTTCAGGTTTCCCAATGCATCGTTTTCCAAATGCTTTTAAGTTCCCTGAGCCTTTTAAGGCTTGGGTCAATCTTGTTGGTGGAAAACTGGAATCAGCTTCTGATTATGAGTATTACCGGAATAAGTTGATTTGTGATATACATTTTACTCCTGAAGACAGAGTTCGGAATAACCGCTTAAAGGCATATGCAATTCCATCACTTCATTTACTTGGTATGTATAGGTATGTACATGTTGTACATTATTTATTGAAGTAATTATTAGTTGCTATGATTACTGGTAAAGTTGAGGCCCAGACTTGTACATTGTCTTGGAGAGTAACATTATTATTTGTGAATTAATGTTAAGAAACACCCAATAACAGCCCAGTACATGAAATAGTGTCTTATAAATGCCAATATGCCTGCCCTATAGAATTGCCAATGTATTACAAATTACAAAGCAATTGCAAATAAAATTAAATGAGACCTTAAGTTTGTTTAGGTGTTTCTTCTCATAAGGTGTTTAGCTAAAAATGCTGAATTCATCTAGTCTAAATTATATAAAAGAATTCATTGACAGTTTAAAAGTTTTTTTGATAACTTGAGTGTTTAATGGTCCTATTAGACTGAGACACAATGGACAGCTCAGAATCAAAAGTATGATTAAGAATGTGGGGATTCCACCACATTATTACACACACCTCATATATACACACAGAAACACAATAACACTTACACATAAACACATACAACACCTACAATAAACGTAATTAATTACATATTATGTAACCATTATAGAACAAGCATTTAACACATTGGGACCATTGTGGATCGACCTTTTTCTAGACAGAGCGGCCGGGGATTGAATCGCGGCGCTCGCGCATATCCTGTTGTACTTGTATAAAGTTAGTTACCTGCTGATCGCCTCTGCGACTAGACCCTTGTAACACCTTTGCGCCCACGGCTAACCACGTACAGTTTATTTGTTAATGCTATCTCTTACTTTCTTGCTTGTGCTATTCTTTGTAACTATGATTGTGCTCGCTTCCCTTCTGACTCTTTATTTTAGTGTGCTTTGTGTCGTGGACTATTAAAAGACTGTGAACGTTAATATAAACTGTTTTCTTCACTGAACCTACGACGCCTTACGCCATTTTAACCTACAAGAACACAGTTGCAATATATATTTTGATTTGAGTGATTTACTTTTTATCTGCTTTGCTGCCCTCAACTACTTCAATAAGCCTTTTTTAATATCACAAGTTTAATACTCTTTCACAGTTATTGAGAAGTGTGTTAATAACAAGTAAATTAAATTGAAACTTAATAATAAATTAATGAATGATTGAGCATTTGAAACCCCATGTTGGTGTTTATTTTTCTTATTAATAATTTCAGAAAAACCTGCCAGGGTATCGGATATTGGTTGTTGCCAACCTTCAACTTCAAATGCATCAAATACAGGTACATTACTATCTAACAATTACCAATGTTTTCACCTCTGCAGTCTAGTGGTAAACTAAAAAATGCTTAGTTCGTATTCCCTAGTATATTCGATTTAAGTAATTTATAAAGCCCTAAATCAAATAATATATATACATAAGTTTACTACACTTTCAACTTATCTAGATTTTCATATATGTTATCAAGAGGTTAATAAAGATAGTCAGTCATGAAATTAAAATAATAAGCTTTATTTTAATTTCAGGATCATCTGCCAGTTTTATGACGGAGCAAGAACCACCTTTAAATGTAGCCAACAGAACACTGAGTCACATTTCTGCCTCGCCTGCAAATACAGGTAAATAAAAAAAATATCTTTTTAAAAATAAGTATCAGAAATAATATTAATTTGCAATTTTGTCATCTCTGTAGCTTAGTTTCAAAATATTTGACATACTTCCTTGGTTCATCATCATCATCATTACAGCCCTTCACAAGTCCACTGCTGAACATAGGCCTCCCCCAAAGAATGCCACAAAGCACGGTCCTGAGCCACCTGCATCCATCGACTTCCTGCATATCTTACCAGGTCGTCACTCCATCTAGTGGGGGGATGCCCTACACTTCGCCTGCCGGTACGAGGCTGCCACTCGAGAACCTTTCTTCCCCATCGGTTGTCGGTTCTTCGAGCTATATGGCCGGCCCATTGCCACTTCAGCTTACTAATCCGTTGGGCTATGTCGGTCACTCTAGTTCTACTGCGGATATCCTCATTTCTGAGTTTATCACGCAGAGAAACTCCGAGCATAGCCCTCTCCATAGCTCGCTGAGCGACCTTGAGCTTCCTCATCCGGCCAGCAGTGAAGGACCACGTCTCAGTTCCGTATGTCATCACTGGCAACACGCACTGGGTGTACAGTCTCGTTTTCAAGTTTTGAGGTATACCTGACGAGAAGATGTGCCGTAATTTCCCGAACGCTGCCCAACCGAGTTGAATCCGTCGATTGACCTCTCGGTCGAAGTTGGACTTACCTAGTCGGACTATTTGTCCCAGGTAAACATACTCGTCAACAACTTCGAGCTTAGTGTTCCCAACAACTACCGGCATAGGTGTGACATGGACATTAAACATGATCTTTGTTTTGTCCATGTTCATCTTAAGACCTATCCGTTGGGAAACACTATTGAGGTCATTGAGCATAGTGCTTAGGTCCTCCAGCGATTCTGCCATAAGGACTATATCGTCGGCAAATCGAAGGTGAGTGATGTACTCGCCATTGATGTTGATACCGTATCCTTTCCAGTCCAGAAGCTTGAAAACATCTTCCAATGCAGCGGTAAAGAGTTTCGGGGATATGACGTCACCCTGTCTTACACCTCTCTGCAATTGGATAGGTTTCGTACTCTGGTTCTGTACTCGGATAGCCATCGTAGCCCTACTGTACAAGCACTTCAACACTTCGATATACCGACAGTCAACTTGGCATCGCTGAAGGGACTGCAGCACCGCCCAAATTTCGACGGAATCAAAGGCTTTCTCATAGTCCACATACGCCAGACATAGTGGCAAATTGTACTCCTCGGACTTCTGTACAATTTGCCGAAGGGTATGTATGTGGTCTATGGTGCTAAAGCCTTTTCGGAAACCGGCTTGTTCGGGAGGCTGGAAGTCGTCAAGTCTGCGCGCGAGACGATTCGTAATGACTCTCGAAAACAGCACGTAGACGCGGCTCAGAAGGGAAATCGGTCTGTAGTTCTTCAAGAGAGCGTTGTCGCCTTTCTTGAAGAACAAGACCACCGCACTTCTGCTCCACGCCTCCGGTGTAATGCCACCATGGAGGACGGAATTAAAGAGCTTCTGAAGGACTTCAAGTACCGGTTTTCCACCCGCTTTCAGAAGCTCCGCTGTAATTCCATCCTCGCCTGGGGCCTTGCCGTTTTTAAGGTGCTGGAGAGCCATTCTAATCTCGCTCAGACTGACGTCCGGGATATCTTCGGAATAATGTCGGATAAGACTCGCTCTTGGATCGTTACTCACACTTGCGTGCGGCTCCAACGATGACGTGTACAGCTGCCCATAGAACCTCTCAATCCCACTCAAAATCTCAGGTGCCCCGGAAACGATGCTGCCACATTCTGTCTTCAGCTTTGACAGTTGGCGCTTTCTGGCAGACAGATCTCTGGCAAAGACTTTGGAGCCTCGGTTCCGCTCGATCGCTTCTTCAATACGAGCTGTATTGAATTTGCGTAAGTCCCGCCGCATGCATTTGGAGATCTGTCTGTTCAGTTGCCTGTATGCTGTTAAATCTGTTGAAGAATGTAGCTTCATCTCCCGTCTAACAGCCATGAGATTAAGAGTGTGATCGGAGAGTTTTTGTGTTCTTCTGCGGCGGGTCTTGCAGAACTTAGCTCCGACCGCATGGACAGTTTCCACGAGCTTGTCATTCAAATCGTCCACTTCATTGCAGTCTTCTAGGCACTGAAAACGGTTTTGTAACTCGAGCTGAAAGGTTTCGGGACTCTGGATTAGAGCACGAGGGGGACGGAGCGTTGACTTCATTAGACGAGACCTCTCCAACTTAACGTTTAGGTTCAGTGTGCCTCTAACCATTCGGTGATCGCTGCCGGTTTTCACCCTCGCGATCACTGAGACATCACTGAACAGTTGTCGTCTGGTCGTCATAATGAAGTCAATCTCATTTTTTGTCGAACCGTCGGGGCTCGACCAGGTCCACTTCCTGTGGGGCCGCTTCTGGAAGAAAGAGTTCATCATAAAGAGTCCCTCTTTCTCCATGAAGTCGGCCAGCTGCTGGCCCCTTGGGTTCCGTTGCCCTATTCCAAATTTCCCTACTTTCAGCTCACCGTTCTCTCTTGTGCCTAGTTTTGCATTGAAGTCTCCCATTAACACCGTATATTGGGTTTTGGAGGAATGCATGGCTCTAGAGATATCCTCATACATTTCCTCCACCTCCTGATCGGGGTGTGCCGAGGTTGGTGCGTAAACCTGTATGACCTTCAGCGAATACCGTTTGGTGATTCTGAGTATAAGGTACGCAACCCTCGTCGACACACTCTCAATCTTTACAACGTTGTTAACGAGAGACTTGTGGACGATAAATCCGACACCTCCTTGGGACAGATGGTCGCCCTCCCGGTAATAGAGCAAGTTGCCGGATTCGAGGATTACCGTGTCCTCCCCCTCTCTTCGGACTTCGGATAATCCTATAATATGCCAGCGTAACTTGTCTATCTCTTCTTCCAGCTCCACAATCTTCTCGTCAGTCCTCAGGGTGCGTGCGTTGTATGTTGCCAGGTCGAGTCGTCGTAGGTGGCAACCGAACCTCCACCGGAGATTCTTAGCACCCCCTGCCCCGCCGTTACCATGGTCGCCACCGTAGCCAGGAATAGCGGGGCCGCCGGGGACTGGGGGCCGTTTATTATTGTCATTGCTCATGGGGGGTATATTGCCATAGTTGCCACGCTTGGCGAGCGGGTTGGCAACCGCAGTTTTTTATTGTTATTTTGGCTATTATCAGGAAGATGCTGCTGCCCATCTCCTGCCTGTTTCCCTTTGTCGCCTTTTACGACACCCACGGGAAGATATGGGGTAGTGGATATTCTTAACCGCCACTACACGGCTAGTGTAGCTAAGTGTTAGAGATTTACTCGTCAAGCAGTCTGGAAATAATTGAATATGAGTACATCGGTGTCCTCGTCTGGCTCAATTTGTAAATACTGATAAAGATATGTTTTATTTTCAGATTTGTTGCTAATGTTTTTTTTTTCAGATATTGTGAAGAAAGAAAAAACAGTGGATTCTGAAGGAAACCCAACTTTATCAGTTCGGAAAAATCCAGAAATCAACAGCCTTCCAATTGAAGAAAAACAAAATAGCACAGGAGGTATTATACAATTCTTTCTTTAACACAAATTAATTAATAGCTTTATACTGTAATTTTTTCATTTTTAAGTACCTATTATAGACTGAACTGGTCAAAATTATTCAGCAGTAATCAAAACCACCTATCCAGTGCGTAAACGCACAGACTACATACGTCGGGAGGTCGTTATGAGGATTAAGCATTTAGAAAATAAGAAAAAGATGGAAATGCAAATATTGAAAACAAAGGTATCTATGAATTTCAACAACCTATGTACTGGTTTTTATTATGTCTAAATTGATTTTCTTTCATACTTATCGATTTTCTTTACAGTTAGAAGTTCAGATGATAAAAAGGAAATCTGCATTGTTAGAGGAAGAGAGAAATAAAATTTTATTACAAAAAGCTAAAATAGAATTTGAAGAACTGAAGAAATCAATACTTACATGATCAATCAATACTTTCTGATGATGATGATGATGATTAAAATATAAGTATTATTATTTGAATAATGGATTTTTATTTTTATTAAGTTTAGGAAAAGTTAAAGTTACAGCCTAAATACGTCCCACTGCTGGACACAGGCCTCCTCTCATTTCTGAGAGGGTTTTAGGGCAAAGAAATGTCCGCCACGTTGCCCCAATGGTGTTGGCGAACTACACATATCTTCGTATGTTTTTTCTTATTTCTCAGACATGGAGGTTTCCTCACGATGTTTTCTTTCGCCGCCCAAGCACGTGGTAAATCACCACTGAAAATTGCAATTAACAATTTCATTGGTGCCGGCGGGGATCGAACCCGGGTTGCTCGCGTACTGTGGAATTTACAGCGAGCGCTAACCATCTGAGTTACCACGGCTCTTAGTTTGGGAAATGAAAGAATATTTTACAGATTTATCAATTGAGGCGCTGATATTACACGCCTAAATGAGTAGTGTTAATGATTTGAACAAAAAAATATGTGAAAGTAGAACATTTTCTTAATAATTTGATAAGTGAATATTTAAAATTATATTTATTTTACATAGTGTAATTAACTCTTTCACAGCGAATCACGAGTACCGCTCGGCATTCATATTTTTCTCCAACTCGCGAATCACGAGCGACACTCGTTACCGCCTTTCATACTGTTTATTAGAAAATCACGTCGCCTAGTCGTGATTCGCTGGGTACGCATTTGTAGCCGAGTTTATAAGCTATACACACATCTGCAATACATGTGCGAAGCGGGAACAGGAGAGCTACAATATGCGATACCCCGCGCCGCCCGCTCAGTCTGCCGCTGGCGAGTAAACAGGGTGAACGTTACTGCATTTTGGCGCGTAATGGCTTCCTCACAGCGCAATCGTGCGATCTCTATGCGCGAGATTGCTGATTTTTTACAGGATGATGATGACTCTGATATTGAGGAGGCTCAGAATGAAGAAATTGAAGGTAAATAATAATTTATATTTATATTATTTCTATGTAGGTAAACCATTTCCGTATTGAGTATGCTTTCAATAGAAATTTCTTTTGTAGACTTGTTGTCTGACCTGCAAGTGGTTGTGGCCAGTCAAGAAAGGCACGATGATGGTGCAGTTGAGGAGCAGGAGCAATTTCGTGAACCGGTCAACCAGCGAGGGCGTACTCGGGAGCGTACACAGAGAAGGTTTCGGCGCGGGCGTCAGCGCGGCGGCACAGTGCGCTCAACTACACACGGGCGATCTTCACAAATGCAGATTACTCTAAGAGAAATGGACGAGGCCAATGGATGGACGTATGTGCCAAGAGAACGTCCATTAGAAGACCCTGTCTTCGAAGAAGTATGTCGTGTCTTAGCCCCCATAGATGAGAATTCATCAGAAATCGACTGCTTTTCAGTCTTTTTCACAAACGATTTTTGGAAGCTCCTGAAAACTGAAACGAATCGATATGCCGCGCAGATGAAGACCAAGCTGGCTAGACGAGGACTGCTAAAACCAGGGAGTATGCTCGATAAGTGGACACCCGTTACGTTGGAAGAGCTGAAACTTTTTTTCTCCATAATAATTCATATGTCGCTAGTGCATAAAGAAAGCTTTGACGCGTACTGGTCCACAAGATAAATTATACACACCCCATATGCGGCCAAACTGATGAATAGAGATCGTTTCAGGGCTATTTACAGTTGTCTACACCTGAACGACAATTCTAAATACATACCTCGGGGTCAAGATAACTACGACGCCTTTTTCAAGCTACGGCCATACTTTGACGAGCTCTGTCGGCTGTGTGCTACCAGTTTTTATCCTGGGGAAGCCTTGACGATTGACGAAGGGACGTGTGGCTTTAGAGGCAGAGTACACTTCCGAGTTTTCAATAAAGATAAACCCGACAAATACGGAATGAAAATTTATATGTTATGTGACGCAGCGACGGGGTATATTTTGAACATGGTTCCATATGTCGGTGATTCCAAAACGGTTGAGCAAATAGTCACAGAACTAAGTGAACCGTACTTTGAAAAATGGCACACGATATATATGGATCGATTTTTCTCCAGCCCAACGGTTGCAGACTTACTCTGGCTGAAAAATACTCGTGTTGTCGGCACTGTGATGCCGAACCGGCGTGGCTTGCCCCAAGAATGGCGACAACAGCTCTTGGAGGTGAATGAAATGTCTTTCTGTCACCGTGGGAATCTCACCGCCTGTAAGTGGAAAGACAAGCGGGACGTCCCCTTCCTGACGACCAAACACGCCGCAACCTGGACAGAGGTGACTGTAAAAGCTAAAGGAGGTCTGGCAAAAAAAATAAAACCGGACTGCGTCTTAGACTACAATAAAAATAAAATCGGTGTAGACCTGAACGACCAATACGTGTCCTATTATGCCCTGCAAAGGAAATGTATGAAGTGGTGGAAAAAAATGTTTTTCCATTTAGTAGCAAGGGCCATGGTGAACTCCATGGTAATTTACAACAAACAGCAGCCTGCACGCCGCCAATTGCGGTTTTCCCAATTTTTGATGGCTTGTGGTGAAGGCATTGTGCCAGCTAGGTCTACTGATGATGCAGGTCCATCTCATGGAGCTCACCTGATCGCCAAGACTTCGAGATTAGTGGGAAGACACTTCATTGAAAGAATTCCAAGTACAGAAAAGAAGACAAAAGTGACGAGAGTGTGTAAAGTTTGTGCCGACACTATCAAACACGAAACTGGAAAACGAGGACGCAAGGAGACTGTTTTTTACTGCCCGGACTGTAATGTGCCACTGTGCAATGACCCGTGTTTTAAAAAATATCACACGGTAAAGAATTACCATCTATAAAGAGGCATATACATTATGCAACACTTATTTTTTTTTTCAAAAAAAGGACTATATTGTTTTTTTTTTTTTTATAAATATAACAAAAATAATATAATGTATTTTTATTTACTAATCATAAACTGCAATAGTATATCTTATATACACAAAAAGAATTATCAGTGTTCTCATTTTAGTTAAGTTTATATGACATTCACAAATATACAGAAAATCGCCCGCGTACCGTATCAAGCGGCGCCTTAAATGCTCCGCTGTGAAAGTGTTAATTTGTGAAGTTATTTCCGACGCGGACAAAAAAAAAGAATACGAAAAACTCTCAGGGATATTTTTATGAAATTTGCATAATGTTAAAGAATAATTAATTATCTATCTGTTAGTATACTGATTTGTTTTCAAGTAAAAATTTGAGCGCGGATTAGCACAGGGGAATAAAGGGCGACGGGCGTCAGGGCCACAGTGCATTATTAGTACATATTTATTTATCTATGTGTTACGGCCTACGGCTGCTCCCTTAAAGGATCCAATCCTCAGGGGCCCATGAGCTGAAGACTTCCCGAACAGACGTAGGTCGGGCCTCAATGTGGCCACGTGGTATCTCTCGAATTACACTAAAATATATGGGGGAGCGTTCTATACTACGGCCAGTCGACCGGCAGAGGAATTAGGCGGAGCTTACTTACTTATATCCAAGGCGACTGGTCCCTCCGGAGTCGTTCAGGTCACATGTGGTTGTGTAGTGAAAGGGAAATAAGTGATGTGATGTGTATCTGGGTGTGACTGATGGTGATTGAACCTAGACCTTGGCCGTCGGCAGCAGCCCGAGCGTCGACATCGCTCCAACTTGAGGGGGCCTTCCGAGGTTGCCCACAGTCACTTTCTTCTTTCGTCACGTTGACAGTCAATTAACTCTATCGTACGATTAACTAACTTACAGAAGCCACTATCGCTGGGTATAAGGTTAACTCACAAAACGCACACGGAGTTTACAGGATCAAAGGTCACTACCGTTTCGCGTTGCAACAGTTAGTTCTAGAATATCAGAGGCCGCACTAGCTAATATTGTCGAATGCACTTATACAGATTCTGAGTCGGACCCAATAAGTCCCGGGGAAGCTCTCCAGTAGGGATACGCGCCACAAAATTCCTAGACCGTATTTTTACTGTCCGCGCTTAATTATTCCGAGTTCCCGCGCTTAATTGGCAGCGTGCCAATCGTGAGCACTGCCTAAGGACGACTGACGCGCTTGCGACCCGCGCGCCACTTGCCACGCTCGGCCTAACTTCAAACCGGTATCGCCGAGCGGCGCGCCCTCTAACGTCAATCCCGAAATCAGCGTTCGGGCGTAAACAAACCCCCGTCCCGGACATAAGGATTTAGGTCCGCGAGCAAATCGGTCAGCGGGACAAGGTCGCGAAGGCAAGTTGCAAGACCGAATTCACAACCAAACTAGGCCACCTTAGGCAACCCATCATATCTTGCAACCCTAACCAACGCCTCAAAAGATAGCCCTAATGTGGCAAGCCGGAGGGTCAGCCTCTACTGGATGCCCCTCCTGGGCATCGCAGCACTTTAACAAGTCCTGTACTGGACAGAAGTCCGACGACCTCCTTCAAACACCTATCTGTGCCCCTATGATTAGTTCCGCAATCCAACCGGATCAGCTCTGTAAACAGCGACGCTACACGAAGCTGCCCAGACAAATTTTGTGCCAGCAGTAGCTTCAATGCAGAGCGCACCCACAAATTCCACATGAACGTCGTCTGTGGAGAGCCGAACGAAACGCATAGATAGTCCCTAGTATGAATTTTCAACCAGTAGGCCTAGCCAGGCCACCCACCATATTATCGTTTACTAACATAGTGCGGCAGCTGATTTCAATCTGATAATCTCCAAAACTACGAGTAGCTAGCCTGTTAGGCAAGTAGTCCTATGCTCATATTTCAACTAATTTTTCAAAAGCATCAATGTTCAACTACAGAATTAATTCAACCAAATTAATCACCGATGCGCATAGGTCAACTTGCAAATTAAACAAAACAATAACGTAAGGGACAGCCCTACTTCTTCGCAAAGCAAAATGATTAAACACTATCATAAACATATACATAATTTTTTCCATTCAATTTTCCTTTCAGCAAACAGACGCAACAATCAAATACACATGCACAAAACACATGCAGTAGCATTTAAAGGAGTAGATTAAATTCAATTCTTTTAATTTAAACCGCTACAAATAGGAAAATTTCGCGGGAAGCCCAAAGCAGTTTTTTAATTTTAATTCAAGTATTTTTTGACTAAGTGCTCGACCAAACCAAATCTAATACCCCTTGACAGCGTGATTCAACGCTCCAGGGGGGCCCTAATCTTCCCACCACCAAGGGGAGGCCACATGGCGTGAACCCGAGATCAATAGAGTGCGACCGCTAACAGTCGCCACTCGGGTTGTAAGCCTCACTGAGGACGTCGGCAACAGAACACCTTAACAAGTGGACTTTTGACGGCTTAAGGCTCAGTGGAGGCGGCCGTGGTGGGAGCTATGGCGGCAGCTAGCAAGGGCCGCCTCCATCAAATGGGGAATAGTGGTACACCAGTCGCGGCCACTCAGCTAACGGGAGTGAGAAGGGTCCAGCGGACCGATGAGTGGCCGTGAAGTTCCTCTCCACACGCTGAGGGGGGGCGATGATACCCCCGCCCCTGAGGGAATTACCCCCCGACTGGTCGGAGGAGGGACCCCTTCCAAACCTAGGGGCCCGGTGGCTGGCCGGCGGGCGCCAAGAGTCGCCCGGCAGAGGGCGTGGCTGAGCGCCCCCGCCCGTGGGGGTCGAGGGCCTGGCAGAGCCCCGAGAGGAGATGCCGTTCGCACCCAGGCACAAAACGGCATGGTGATTGCCCTGGCAATGCAGACAGGGCCGTCGATGCGGACAGTCTCGCTGGAGGTGCCCTCCCAGATATGACCAGCACCAGCGGCGCTCCTTGGCGATAGTTCGCCTCGCTGGAACCGTCTTACCTAATAATTCCGAGCACGACGTTACCCGATGATCAGATGCTCGACAATAGGAGCAGGGGGGGGGGGGGGTTGACGACGACTTGCCTGGAGGATTCAGCCTCTATCTATCAGACCTATCAAAGCATGGGCGCTTGTGGCCCAGCGTAGCTCAGTCCGCAAACAACGGATCAGTAGCTTGGGCGATGTCATCACTATTAAATGCAAATTACGACGCGGCTTGAGCACAGATTACAAAGATAACAAACAAAAAATACAACAAAAATTAACAGTTAATAAATGCAGTTCCCTTATCAAATCGCGTTGAATAGAAATTACACAAATACGAATTACTACGTATCAACCAAATACAAGTTAGCACAAAAGAAAAGACACAAATCAAATTGACAAATAACAAATACTGGTGCGATCAAATCAAGTTAATTCAAATTGCGCAAATACAATTACTACTCTTTAGTTCAAATACAAATTACAGTATAAACGAAGATACACATCACGGTCGATCAACAAAAAATGCCCAGCTCGGAAATCGACCCTTCGATAAGCAATCCACTACAACCATCCGACAACGATAATTAACCGATTACGTAAAAATAACCATCTACCTACATGGCGTATATCTCTAGAAAAACTCCCGCTTGCGCAACCTAGGGCGCGGCTTTTCAAACTACCTACTAACCAAAAAAAAAAAGGCAAGCAACAAACAACAAAGGGAAATAATTCTATTATTACGTACAAAAAAATATTTTTACGTATTACGGACGGGCGTGATTGTAGATACAAATTAAACCAATC